CGAGAGAAAAACCTGTTCTGCCACTGAGTGAGATCACGGCTGATCTGATAATCCTCAACTCCACTTTCCCACCTTTCCCCTTGTCTCTGCATTCCTTTCCCGGTTAAAAAGCTCTCTCAGCCTCGAATATACTGACTGACCCAGCCTCAACAGCCCTGTGTGGTAAGGAATCCCACAGATTCACTCCCCTGAGAGAAGAAATTCCTCCTCATCTCTGTCTCAAAGAGGCAACCACTTATTCTGAGATTATGCCTTCTGGTCCTAGGCTCTCCCATGGAGGTGGGGGGGTGGGGAAGAGAACAACCTCTCCACATCTCCCCTGTCAGGTCCCCCCCTAAGAATCCCGAATGTTTCAGTAAGGTCGCCTCTCACTCCCCTAAACTCCATCGAGTACAGGCCCAACCTACCCCAACCTCTCCCTCATCAGACAGTCCCTCTATCCCCGGGATCAGCCGAGTGAACCTTCTCTGGACTGGTCAGTCTGTCTTTCCTTAGATACAGGGCCCCAAAACTGTTCGCAGTGTCCCAGCTGTGGGCTGAATAGTGCCTTGTATAGTTTTAGCAAAAACCTCCCTATTTTTAAACTCCACTCCCTTTGAAATGAAGGCCAACATTCCATTTGCCTTCTGTATTATCCACTGAACTCAGATGTTAAAACCACAGCTTTACATCTTCCACACTACTGCACACTGTACTGTTCGAGGTATATGTTTGATATAAATGCACGAGGGGGAATTCAGGGAAGATTTACCAGACTAGTACCTGGAACGTGCCGATTGCCTCATGAAGAAAGGTAGACCCTTTCAGTCTGGAGTTAAGAGTCTGCGATGACGACATCGAAACATACAAGATCCTGAGGGGACCACTTTCGTTGGCGTTGAAAGGATGTTTGGTCCTGCAGGAGAACGTAGAACTAGAAGCGTCACAGTGGGTTAGCTCTGCTGCCTCCGAGCGCCAGGGACCCGGGTTCGATTCCAACCTCGGGTGACTGTCTGTGTGGACGTTCTCCCGTGTCCGCGTGGGTTTCCTCTGGGTGCTCCAGTTTCCTCCCACAGTCCGAAGATGAGCTATAGGGAGAGGCTGAATAGGCTGGGTCTATTTTCCCTGGCTGAGGGTGACCTTATAAGAGGGTCATAAAATCATGAGGAGCATGGTGAGGATGAATTGTTGAGGTCCTTTTCCCCAGGGTGGGGGAGTCCAAAACTAGAGGGTCATAGGTTGAAGGTGAGAGGTGAGCGATTTAAAAGGGACCTAAGGGGCAACATTTTCGCACAGAGGGTGGTGTGTGTATGGAACGAGCCTCCAGAGGAAGTGGTGGAGGCTGGTACAATTACAACATTTAAAAGGCATCTGGATGGGGACATGAATAGGAAGGGTTTAGAGGGACATGGGCCAAATGCTGGCAAATGGGACTAGATTAATTTAGGATATCAGGTCGGCATGGACGAGTTGGACCGAAGGGTCTGTTTCTGTGCTGTACATCCCTATGACTCTATGTATAGGTTAGGGTGGTCTGGTCGTGCTAAATTGTCCCATAGTGCCCAGGGATGTGCAGGTTGGGGTGGATTGGCCGTGCTATATTGTCCCGTAGTGCCCAGGGATGTGCCGGTTAGGGTGGATTGGCCATGCTAAATTGTCTCCGTGTCCAGGGATGTGCGGGTTAGGGTGGATTGGCCGTGCTATAGTATCCCGTAGTGCCCAGGGACATGCAGGTTAGGGTGGATTACCCAATCGTTCGAGCAGCCTGCTTCTGCACTGCAGTGTTTCTCGGTTTCTAAGCCTTATTCAGACCCGCTCCCTATTGCCCATGGGTGCTTTCTATCCCTCTGTTCTCCCTCCCATTCACGTGTCTATCAAGATACACTTTAAGCATTGCTAACGTACCTGCTTCCACTGGGAGTGCATTCCAGGCACCCACCACCCTCTGGGTGAAATATATTCCCCACACTTCTCCCCTAAAGTTTGCACCCTCTCACCTGGAGCCTGTGTACTCTTGTGATTGATCTTTCCACCCTGGGGAGACAGGTCTCTGACTATCCACCTGTGCCTCTCATAATTTTGTAGACTTCTATCAGGTCACCCACCCCACACCCCTGAGTCTTTCCAGTGAAAACAATTTGAGTTTATCCAACCTCTCCTCAGAACTCAAACTGTCCAGACCAGGCAACATCCTGGAAAACCTTCCCTGTCCCCTCTCCAAACCGTTCACGTTCTCCTGGTAATGTGGTGACCAGAACTGCACGCAATATTCCTAATGTAACCCAGCTACAGTTTTGTACAGCTGTCACATAACTTACCAAATTTTATATTCAATCCCCTGGCCGACGAAGACAAGTGTGCCTCGAGTAGGGCAGGGATGAAAGATTATAGAGTCACAGAACTGTGCAGCACGGAAACAGACCCTTCGGTCCAACCCATCCATGCTGACCAGATATCCTAAATTAATCTAGCTTCATTTGCCAGCATTTGGCCCATGTCCCTCTAAACCCTTCCTGTTCATGTACCCATCCAGATGCCTTTTAAATGTTGTAATTGTACCAGCCTCCACCCATTTCCTCTGGCAGCTCATTCCATACACGCACCACCCTCTGTGTGAAAAAGTTACCCCTTAGGTCCCTTTTAAATCTCTCCCCTCTCACCTTAAACCTATGCCCCTCAAGTTTTGGACTCCCCCACCCTGGGGAAAAGACCTTGTCTATTCACCCTGTCCATGCCCCTCATGATTTTATAAACCTCTATAAGGTCACCCCTCAGCCTCCGACGCTCCAGGGAAAATAGTCCCAGTGTATCCAGCCTCTCCCTGTAGCTCAAACCCTCCAACCCCTGGCAACATCCTTGTAAATCTTTTCTGAACTCTTACAAGTTTCACAACATCCTTTCTATAACAGGGTGACAGAACCGAAGGCAGTATTCTAAAAGTGGCCTCAATGTCCTGTTCAGCTGCAACATGACCCTCCCAACTCCTATACTCAATGCGCTGACCAATAAAGGCCAGTGTACCAAACACCTCCTTCACCGCCCTGTCTACCTGCGACTCAGATTATCGGCAGTTAGTCAGGTATGTGGATTTGAGGTTACCATCGGATCAGATGTGGTCTTCTTGAATGTTAGAGCAGGGTCAAGGTTCAAGTGGCTCCCCCCGTTTCTGTGCCAGTTGTTTGTATGTTTCTCATACCCAGCTGCCCGCTACTCAATGGTAGGATGGTGCCAAGCTCGTTTATGGGAAGGGGTGGTCAGGACTCTCAATTCAACACGATGGAAGATGAAGTGCACGGGAGCCAGGGACGGGGGTGTGTTGGGG